CGGTTAGAGCGTCGGCCTGCAGTCCACAGAGACCGGGTTCGGTTCCCGCTAAGGGCATGTACCTCGGTTGCAGTTTGTCCCCGGCCCTGGTTGGGTCGCGTGGGTGGCAGCCACTCGATGTGTCCCTTTCATGTCGATGTTTCTCTCTCTCTCTCTCTCTCTCTCTCTCTCTCTCTCTCTCTCTCTCTCCCCCCCCCTCCCACTCTATCTGAACAAAAAAAAAAAAAAAAAGGAAAAATGTCCTCGGGTGAGGATTTAAAAAAAAAAAATTGAGATACAATTAAATAACATAAAACCACTTTAACCGTTTTAAAGTGTTCATCGGCTCTTGGTATTTCACAGTCATATAACTGTCACCGCTAACGAATTCTAGAACATTTCACACCCCGGGAGCAACCACGCCAGACGCTCTCCCCAGTCCTTCCCAAGCCCTGTCCCTCTGCCCTGTGTGCTCTGTTCAGTGCCCACTTCTCCTCGGCTAGGTTTCGTAATTCATATTCACACATGGTATCTGTTGAACTGACACGTTTCCAGGAAGCCAGCTCTTTTCCCAGGTCCCCAGTTTCCCCGCCGAGTCTCAGGAAGTCCCCTCTGAGGATCTTCCGGTGTTTCGGTTACTTGCTCGTTTTCAGCCGCGGTCCCCTTGCCTCCCCTTCCCGTCTGGGAGAGGCCGGCCGGGGTTGGTCTTTGTGAAGAATAGTTCTGGGGCTCACTAATCCTTTCTGCAGTTTGGGCTCATTCGCGCTCTATTATTTTTGTTCTCTACCAGTTTCTTCTTATCTTTTCAAAAGGGCTTTACTGAGGTGGCATTCATGCCTGTTTCCGTCTGTCCTCGTCCACAGGCCTTCCTCCTCCCTGAGTGCCAGCCTCACGGTGGCCATGGGGTTCCTTCCCACGGCTCCCAGCTCGGCTTCCAATTCCAGCTTTCACGTCCTTTCTACTCCAAGGAGGTGGTACAGAGTCTCACCGTCCTCCAAAATCCAGCCCCCTCTTCTTCTACCTTAATGGAGCCCTCCATTCTCAGCGGGTCCAGTCCATCCCGAGATAAAACTACAACTCCCAGCATTCCTTGAGCTAGGCGTGCCCATGTGACTGGGTCCTGGCCAATGGGATGTGAGCAGAAGTGGTGGAGGGCAATGCTGGGGGACCACCGGGAGGAAGGCTCCCCTGGGGATGTGGAGAGGCAAGACCATGCAGCCTGGGCTCTGCCGCCCGCCCACCGCCCAGCCCAGGCGGCTGTGTTCGGATCTCATGGTGCAGCTAAATCTCTTCTGCAAGACAAAGCGTATTGAAGAGTGTGTTCTTTTCCAAGTGGCAAAGGGGTTTCTGGCGGGCGGGTTAACATTTTATCCCTTTTTTCTTGTTTTTCTAGAATATGGATAGAGGAAATTTCAACCTTTTAAATTTTTCTTAAGGTTTTTTTGGTTTTTTTTCCCCAACTAAGTACACGATGAAGTTTTAGCAATGCTGAAGGGGCCTTGGATGGACGTGTGATCTCTGGGGTAGGCGATGTTCCGTACACAGCTACCAAATTGAGTTTCGGATGATGTGAGTCCATTTCTCCAAAACCTGAGCTATTTATGTATCTTCTACCAGATTAGACTGATTCTGAACCCTGCAGTTCCTATCGGAATTCTGCTTTTATTACATTCTTCGTGTATTTTTTAGTAACTTGGCTTTATATAGTTAGCGGCTAAGCTGATTAGTGTATAATACGGATTTGTCGTTTTATCGGTTCATAAACTGTTCTTTTAATTCTTCAGAATGTCTTCCTTTCCCGTGTGAGCTCGATCCTCAGCGCCTCCTCGTGCAGAGGAGAAAAGCTTCACTTTCCTTTCGTCCCAATTCTTGGCGTCTTTGACATCCCTTTATTTTCAAGCATCCTCGGTCACTCTCTTTTAACACAACGCTTCTTTGAAACACATACTGCCTTTTTTTTTTTAACCCAAATGGCGGTCTCTTTTTTGAACAGAGGACCCAGCCCATGCCCATTTTTGGTGGTCCGCATTTTAGTCCTTCCATGTTCTTTTATGCTCATTATTATTACTATTATTATTATTTTATTAATCCTCACCTGATGATATTTTCCCATTGATTTTTAGAGATAGTGGAAGGGAGGGAGGGAGGGAGGGAGAGAAAGAGAAACATCAATGTGAGAGAAACACATTGATCGGTTGCCTCCTACACAACCCCAACTGGGGCCAGAAATCGAATCTGCAACCCAGGTATGTATGTGTGCTTGACCAGGAGTCAAACCCTTGGCCCTTTGGTCCGTGGGCTGACGCTCTAACCGCTGAGCACACCAGCCAGGGCCATTGTTTCCCCTTGATGTGTGCTCCTTTGCCTTTTTGCCTCTTTTGCTGCTGCTCAGGGTGTCATTCACCTGCCCTCTCTCCTCCTGACATCTGTGAGCGGTCCTGGTCTCTCTTCTCCCACCAGGGGTCAGCTCCCCTCTTCCTACCCCCAGAGCAGACTCTCCGTTCTGCGTTGTAACATGAAGCGCAAACAGCCACCCCGGGACTCCCAGGGCCTGCGTGCCCCCTGTGGGCCCCTCCTCCCACCATGCCTGGCCCTGCTGGAGGACCCCCCCCCCCAGCTCCCACAGCCACGGCTCCCAAGGTAGCCCGGGGACTTTCTAAACAGCCACCCCGGGACTCCCAGGGCCTGCGTGCCCCCTGTGGGCCCCTCCTCCCACCATGCCTGGCCCTGCTGGAGGACCCCCCCCCCCCAGCTCCCACAGCCACGGCTCCCAAGGTAGCCCGGGGACTTTCTCGAGTGTCCTTGCTCCCGGTCCCCATGGCTCTGACATCTCCTTCAGCCTCACAGCGAGCACAGCAGGCAGACCCCTGCTCCCAGCCTCGTCCGGGGGCGCTCTGTCCTGAGTGGGTGGTCCTTCACTCAGACGAGCCTCTGGGCCGTGCACTCCCTTCACCTTTGCAAGTGGAAACCTCTTTCTTTCTCCGTGACCCATGAACTTTATCTGAAGAGAGGCCAAGAGCACAGACCCATCCTGAAGCTGGTCTCCAGGTTCCAGCCCTGGCTGTGTGACGGTGGATCGGTTCCTTAGCCCCTCTGTGCCTAAAGACGGGGGTACTGCTAACACCCCTCGCATCGGCAAGAGGTGACACATTCAATAAGCTCATGTGTGGAAAGTGCTCGGGGCAGTGCCTGGACAGGGAGAATGTCCCGCACCAGCCATCGTCATTCTTGCTATTATGGTTATTCATCGCACATAGTAGGTAGGCAGAGCCCTGCACCCTGAGCATTTTGTAGGCGGCAGCCCATTACCCTCTGGCTGTCCCGTAACAAACGGGCGTCGCCCAGTCTGATGGACTTTGGCCCTTTCCCTCGCGTTCAGACATGCTCTCAGACTGCACCTGGCTGTGTGTTTCTACTCCAGTCCCGCCCAGAGCGGAAGGAGCCTTCAGCCGGCGAACTGGAACAGCATCAGCTCAAACCTTTTTTCTGTTAGTTGTTCTTTCTCTCCAAGTATGTGCCGATGGGACTGCTGGTTCTGTCCTCAAACCTGGTTCTCCTCAGGATTTCCTCGTCGGTACCTGTGCGCTGATGTCGACACCTCCGCTCACTCCCTCTGACGTAAGCCAGAACCAAAGGCGCCCCCTCGAACTCAGCTGATGAGTGCATTTTGGTTGACGCGTCCTGGTGCTCAGCTCCGAACGTTTTTCATGCTTCCTCGCACCTGTCTTTTCATTGTGTGTTTCCCGCGGTGGCCCGTCCCCAGCAGGCCTGTCGCCTCAGCAGCCCACCTCCATCCCGCCCACGCCCCCTCCTGGCTGCAGCCCCTGCTGTGGACCTGGCCGGGCCGTTGCTGCCCGCGCGCTGGGTGTCCTCGGCCGCCTGGATTAGCAAACCAACGAGCTGACCTTCGCTCTTTGTGGGTTGTGTCCCAGGAAAAAGAAACTGCAAAATAGCCCTGGCCAGTTTGGCTCAGCGGTTAGAGCATCGGCCTGTGGTCCAGAGAGACCCGGGTTCGGTTCCCGCTAAGGGCACGTACCTCGGTTGCAGTTTGTCCCCGGCCCTGGTTGGGTCGTGTGGGAGGCAGCCACTCGATGTGTCCCTTTCACATCGATGTTCTCTCTCTCTCTCTCTCCCTCCCACTCTATCTGAACAAAAAAAATGAAAAAAAATGTCCTCGGGTGAGGATAAAAAAAAAAAAAGAAACTACAAAATAAAGAGAAAAACCTGGAACGGTTGCAGCCAGCGCTCTCTGGGGGTTGCTGCTGGCACCGTGCTCGAGGCTGACGTGCGTGTGTGAAGAGCAAAGCAAATCAGCAATGAGAAGAAATACTAACCCTCTCTCCCTCCCGACAGCGCTGGACACCAGCTTCTCCAAGCAGGGAAGGGCTGAAGGGATTCTGAATGTGAATCCAAACCATCGCGATAAACGCACCTGACTCCCCTTTGAAAGAAAACCTGTGTCTGGTCCATGGACAGAGCCTAGAAGCCATGCCTCCCACCCAGGGCAAGGAGACTGCCCCACACCTCGGGGTCCCCGGAGACCCTTCCTCCTGGAGTCAGGGCCCTCGGAAGCCTGGAGCCGCCAAGCATGACCCTCAGGCGGCGTCACGGGGCTTGAATTTTTGCCGCTCTCCTGCCCTTGAGGCCTTGACCCCGAGAGGGTCACCAGCGGCCCCGCCCACTCCTCCCAGCCAGGCACCCCGCCCTTGCACCTTTGCACCCCGCCTCCGCGTACTCCAGACACACAGCCTTGAGCGCAGGGCCCAGGGTCCCGGCCCCCGCGTGGCCCTGAGCCTCGATGCCCGTCTGTAAATAGAGGGCCCTTCTGGCCTCAGGGACCCGCGCAGGTGCGCTTGGCAGCCCTGCTCACCACGGGCCAGTTCCTGCCTGGCAGGTGTGTCACACGCGGCAGAGGGTGAACAGAACACTTTAATGAAACGGAAAGGGCGTTATGGGGTCTCTGGAAGATGAAACCGGGAGCCCAGGAGAGGCGCTGGGCCCCCCGGGCACACGACGGGCACCTAGTACTTGAGCAGCCAGCGCGGCTTGTGCTGGCTCAGAGACGTGAAGTAGGACCACCACCACGGCTTGCTCCCGTCCGGCCCCGGCTGCCTCCGCTGGGGCCCCCGGCCCAGCTCCTCGGGCTCCCCGTGGGGGCCGGCGCCCCCTGCTGGGTCTCGGAGCCCAGGCCCACTTCTCCGAGGCCCCTGCAGGGATTTCTTAGGTCCAGTCCCCAGAGGCTGGAGAATAAAGTCCACTCGGCCGGCCCTCTTCATCCGGGCAGGGATGGTGACCTTCTTGATGACCTTGGAGTAGCCAGGAGCTTGAGCAATGACGATGTGGGTCCCCGGGGGGAGCAGTCTCCAATAGTCGCCATCTGGGGCTGTTGACACACAGAATAAAAGGATTCTCAGACCTGGGCTCAGAGTCAACCCTGAGATGATGGGAATAGAAGTCAGTGGGGGTGTTAGTCTGAAGGACATATAGGTCTTCTGTAATGACCCGAAATGTCCTTCCCACCTCCTCCCTCTGTCAAACTCCTACGCATCCTTCAAAGCCCTGCTTAGGACTACTTCCTCTCTGAAGCCTTCACAGACCATCCCTACCCTCCATCCCCAACCCACACAGTTAGCCTCCCTCCCTCCTCTGGACCAGTAACTAGCCTCCCGACGTACCACCATTTTCACATCACCTGTGAAATCCCCAAGGGCACCTGGAGCCCACACTGGACGGGCCATTTATCAAAGAGATATAAACGGGGATAGGACACATGGGCTCAGGGATGGGGGGAGCTCCCTCCCGTGATTCGTGAGAAGATGGCTTTTCAGCAGTGATTTCCTGATGAACACGGAGCATGGCCGCCGGTCACGGGGCCGGGGCCTGGTCTCCCTGGGCCGAGCGCTGTTGGAGACATCGCTGGAGGCGACGCGGGCCCTGGGTCCCACCCACCCTCGCCGACCAGGCAGGCGGAGGATGCATGGTGTCGCCTCGAGGAAGGCGGGGACACTGTGAGCACTCCTGGAAGCCGGTGGCCAGGACATGGGCCCAGAGAGGTGCTCACCTGTGGTGATGTCATGACGAATCCCCTTGACTGAAATACGGGCGTTTTTAACCGGCTTGCCAAACTTGTCCATCACCACACCTTTGATGCCCCGGTGCACCTGCAGGGACCAGAGATGCCCCCATCAGAAGCCCCGCCAGCCGCTCCCCAGTCCCCATCTGTCGCCCCGCAGAGCCTGACGTGTCTGGGTCACTCTGCGTAAGTCACTCCCCTCTCTGGGCCTTGATTTCCTCCTCTGGGAAATGAGGGTGACCAGTGAGCCAACCCTGGCCCAGGTTTATGAATGAGCCGCAGTCTTGCCGAAGGGTCTGGCTGCCAGTCTTCCGGGCCGTGAGCTCTGAGCAGAAAACCCCTCCTGTCCTCTTTCCAACACGCCTGAGCGGCCCCTGCCTTCATACTCAGAGCCCTGCAGGCCTCTCTCTGGGTCGAGGCCCTAAGGCAGCCGGACAGAGGCGGGGCGTTGGGCCCTGTCCCAAGGGCTGCGCACTTTCCTAACGCGAGGCTCCTCCCAGAACTGCCTGCACCTGCTCGGTCTCCTCTGAAAACAGTCAGCACCAAACCAGCCAAACTGCCCTCATTCTGTCGGCTGAAAACAACTTGGGTCCACTGGTCGCATCACATGAGGCCAGGACCACTGCGTGGGAGGGGAAACGGCACAGTGAGGCCAGTCTCTCCCAGGAGACTGTTCCACCCACCTGCAGTGTGGCCCCAGCACCTCATCAGCTCCCTCACCTGGCCAATTGCTCTCTCCTCAGAGACACACTCCTCTTCCTCCAGGAAGCCCTCCCTGATGACTGGCCACAGCAGGGGTCTCCTCTGGGGCCCCACGGTCAGGGCTTCCACTCTCCCGGCCCTGACCTCATGGTACTGTCACTGACTGCTCACCTCCCCCCAACCTGAGAGCAGAGGTCAGACACATAGTAGGGCCTCCGTCAACGTCAGCTCGCACGGGCCGGGTTTTATTCCGCCCTTGCTCTCAGGCTGAGGAGTACTCTCCCTGCAGAACCAGGGCAGAGAGCTCTCGGGCAGGGAAGGAGAGCTGGTGAGCACCCCCACCCTGATCCAGGGAGATGGAGCACCCACCCAAGGCCTGGTCAGGATCACTGTGAAAAAGGCCTCAATGGGCCACGACAGGCTCGATCCCTATCAGAGGCCCGGCCTGGCTTTCCTGAGGGGTCACCCTCGGGGGCAGCCACGCCCGCCGCGTGCTGCCCAGCCTTCCGCAGAACCTCGCTCGCTATTAAATCTTCATATCCCAAGACTTCACATACAATATCCTCAGAGCAATCCCAGCTCCATTTAAGGGTCCTTAAAACTCGTCTGCACCAGACGGCCGTAAAATGAAATGAGCGCGGGGCCTGGCCTCCAGCCCTTATTGAATGATGACTGGCCCCGCACAGCCAGAGGTCGCTGGCGCGGCCATAAACAAGAAACTCAAGTGCTGATGACGTCCAGCGATTATCTGCGCTCTCCTCCTGTGGCCGCAGCGCTGACCGGAGGCCCTGCCTGCTCTGCCTGGAGGAAGGTTCCTGATCCTTCTAGAAAGGAGGGGGGTCGTGGGCAGAACTGGGGTTCGGGCAGGCAGAGCTGAGTTCGCCCCGTCACCCTCTCCCTCCTCCTCTGGCTGGCACACAGCCTCTGAGCTGGGAGCAGGAGCCAGCAGGGCCCAGGGACCCAGCACCGTCCTCCCCGGCACCCGCCCCTCCGGCTACGGGGCACCCGTCTACTGCCCAGGACCGCTGCCAGGATTCGACGCGGTGGGGGGGTACCAACTGTAAAGCGCTGTGCACCCACAGCCCTGTTGCCTCCTGTGTGCCTCGCAGCCTGCTCCTCACTGGGACACCGTACCAGGATACACCTGCTGTGACCTGTTAACAGGCTCCGAACAAACATAGCAGAGGTTTCTACAAAACCACGGCTCGGGGCTGGGCCAGGTATCTCCCCTGGGCTGACCTGGCCCTGACTCTCAACTGAACACCCTTGGTCAGCTGTGCCCCTTTGCTGAGACCCTTGCTGCACAGGGGCCCCACACCCCCAGGGCACGGAGGCCTGTGAGGCTTCAGTTGTGAGCAGACAGGTGAAATGTAAGTGCAGACGTGGCCGCGAGCCCGCCACACGGCACCCGGGCCGGGCGGCGCGGCGCCCCTGCCCCCAGGCCCGCCGGGCCCCGCGCGCGGCCGCTGGCTCACCATCTCCACGAAGTTCAGCAGCGGCTCCTTGTTGTGCTGCCAGAGCGTGTAGAGCGCCTCCGCGGGGGGGAACTTCACGCAGCCCAGCTCCACCGTGATCTCGAAGCAGTTGCTGTGCAGGTAGTTGAAGTCGGACATGCCTGCAGCAGTGGGGACCGCCAGCTGTCACGTCAGCGGCCACCGCTTCACAGGTGCGTGGCGGGTGTCACCTCCCCGCTCCGCAGTGAGCGGCACAGGCAAGGGAGGTTTGGGCCACAGGCGAAGGGGCCAAGCGGCACTTTGAACCCAGGCAGTGTGGTGCCCAGGTCTGCCGCCCTCGGCGGGGGAGGCCCGAGCCGACTTCCTGGAGAGAAGCACGTGGCCAAGCCGCTGGCCCCCCCTGGCCTGGACCCCAGGGATAACAACGTCCCTTTACCTGGACAGTCCTGACAACAGCCTAGGGAGGACACAGTCTCACAGGCCGGCCGGCCGGCCAACAAACTGGCAGAGAGAGGTTCCCACCGGCCAGAGCTGCGGCTGGCGTCTGCGTCTGGCCCTGAGGGGCAGCCCTGTGCCAGGAGCAGCGGGCACACCCCTGCCTCAAGCAGCCAGGGCCTCCCCGAGCCCCAGTAGCCAATCCCAGCGAGTGGCCTAACACTCAGCCGCCGCGCCCCGCCCCCAGGCCCTCCCTGAGACACCCTCAAACAGGGTCTTGACTGAGCCCTGCACCCTTGGGAGTCAGAAAGCCCTGGAGCCTGGGTTCTGGGAGGGGGAGAGGCTGCTCTGCCTCCCCCGCCCGCCTCCCCGAAACGACGGCATGAGCCAGTGGGGCAGAGGGGAAAGTCTGCCGAGCAGGGGTGAACTGACTTCAGAACAGGAGTGGGGACGGGCTCACAGCGAGTCCCAGCCCTGCCACCTGTGCTGTGGCCGGAGAAGGTCGTCCTGTCCCCCCGATTCCCGCATCTGCCAAATGACACGAATGGCGGATAGCGCGTGTCCAGGCCGGGCTCAGGCAGGGCGCAGGAGGCGGCCCAGCCCCGCGGGACCCTCACGGCAGGGCCTGGGGCACCCCGCGTCCCTCTGCGCTCGGTCCTCACCCCGCGCAGCTTCAGAGAACAGAGGCGCCAGAGGTCCAGTTCACGTTGAATTTCGGAGAAACAATGAATAACGTTTGAGTGTGAGAATGTCCCCTGCAGAATCGGGACCTACACAGCCCTGAAAAATTCCTCACTGTTTCCCCGAAATTCCCATTTCACTGGGAGGCTGCAGCCCACTCCCCCTCAGAGGCACACTAGAACTGGACACGGTGGAGTCACGTGACGCACTGCCCGTTACCCAGAGGGCGGCAGGAGTCCCAGGTCTTGCTCTGCCACCAGCAACTAGGCCTCCCCTCCCCGGGGCGGGAGTCTCCCAACCCAGGTGTCTCTTTGCTGCTCTCCAAGGGTCCAGGATGGAGCTCCCAAAAAGGGCTGCTACAAAGGGCCCAGGCCCTCCTTCGCCCCGCCCCAGGCAGGCCCCTCCCCTTCACCCCGCCCCACCCAGCCAGGCCCCTCCTCCTTCCCTCTCTCCTCTCCTGCCTGGCTCCTCCCCCCTCCGCCCCACCACCTCCCCCGTCCCAGCCCTCCCCTACCTCCCCAACCCCCCCCCCAGGCCGCACCTCCTGTGAAGCTGTACCAGTCGGCCCCGTTGATGATGCTGCCCCTCTTCAGGAAGTTGCCCCCACACCTGTTCTCCGACTTGTCCATCATCATAGGGTGGACGTCGGCATAGGCTCTGGCCAGCAACTTGAACATCTGGAAAGAAGACCAGAAAAGAGGTTCCCTGAGGCCAAGACCAGAGGTGGGGTGCTCTGCAGGGTGCCCTCAGAGCTGGGGACAATGCAGGGGCCCCCACAAGGGACACCTGCAACACAGATAAGACAGGGAACAGTGTCCACGCAGGGGCACAGCATGTGCAAAGGCCCAGAAGTGGGATGGACAGCTCTGGGCACCTGTGGTGGACACGTGGTGTGCATCTCGGAGCCCCTGCGCACCTGGCAACAGGCCCGACCTGGGGGATGGGGGCAGGACAGGGAGGTCTAGGGGAGCTGAGGCCGAGGACAGGTGTGGGGGGCAGGGGCAAGTGCAACAAGGACTCAGGCCAGGGGCCATGAGAAGACCAGCCTACCCAGATCCTGCCATCGGTGACCCTGCACCAAGCCAGCTCGTCCCCCCGGGGGTGGGCTGGGTCCGGAGGGTTTGGCGGGAAACTGGAGCTGGAGCCCAGCTCAGGGGCAGGATCTGCTGCAGAGCAGGCCGGTGTGGGGGAGCAGGCCGGTGTGGGGGAGCAGGCCGGTGTGGGGGAGCAGGCCGGTGTGGGGGATCAGGCCGGTGTGGGGGAGCAGGCCGGTGTGGGGGAGCAGGCCGGTGTGGGGAGCAGGCCGGTGTGGGGGAGCAGGCCGGTGTGGGGGAGCAGGCGGCTGTGGCCAGCCTGGGGGCCTGGAATGCTGCCCTGAGGTGCTGGCCCTCATCCATGGGGTGCCAAGAACATTGGGGGTGACTTGGGACACCCTGGCCAGCCCCTCATCAGCTCCCCTGCTCCCCAGCACCTCTCCTGGGACCCTGGTTTCCACAGAGACCACCACGGGCTACAGGGCTGAGGATTATCGATTGCTGATTGATGGCTGGTGGGGAAGACCTCAGTGTTCTGACTCTGCCGGGACTCATTGAGGTGAACGCCCCCCCTGGGGACATCTTCAGGTATCTGCCTCTGAGATTCAGAGATGCTGTGCCCAGAGCCCGGGGGCTCCACTGCCCAGGGGCACAGGCCACAGGGGAGCCAAGAACAGGCCACCGGGGAGACCACCCGGCCAGCCCTGGGGGCACCCTGAGCCTGAGCACGGGACCTGGCACCCTGCAGGCTCCAGGCCGGGGCTGCTCAGTTAATAATGAGCCGGCGGATAAGGGACGGAGCCAGAAGCCAGCAGGTGAGTCAGGGATGAAGGCAGGAGGCCACCCTGACCACCCTCTCCCTCGACTCAGAGTTTCATCCATAGAACAGGAAGGGACCCACTCCTACCCCTTCCCAGAAGACCAGCCTTTGTGGGCTCCAGTACCAGGCAAGGGGGCCCGGAGGGGGGCTCAGGCAGGGCCTGGGGCTGGGGGCACAAGTGGGCTTTACGGGGAGCGTAGAGCTGGAGAGGGGCCTGTCCTCATCCCAGGTCTCACCCCTGCTGTTGGACCAGTGAGACCTGGAGAGAAGGGCCTCCTCAGGGCCCAGGTGATGCCGGTGCCGGAATTCCTACTGGGTCTCACTGCACCCCACTCCCAGGGGCTGATCCTTAGCAAACCCACAAGGCCCACAGGCCGGAGGGGCGGCCTGGAGCCAGGCAGGGGTCATGAGCGCTGCAGCACTGCCCTCTGCTGGCACCTTCCGGAACTGCGCTCCCCTCGGACAGGAAACGAGGTGGCCTGGTGGGAGGGCACCAGGCCACAGTCCCCACCCCTGAGGCTCCCAGGCAGGGACACCGATGAGATGGGTGCCACCCGAGGAGGGAGAGGTTGCTGCGAGCTGGGCCCGAGGCTTCCTGGAGCAGGGACTTTGGAGCTGGGCCCGGAAGGCTCCCAATGATCCAGCGACTCTGTGGGCTCAGAACAGGACCAGAACCAGACCCGAGGGCACCACCCACACCGCAGCGTCCCCTGCACCCACCGCAGGCCCACCTCTCACCTTCTCGTCGGGCGTGGGAGAAAACATCTTCTCCTCGTGGGGGTGTCTGGAGAAGTCAAAGGGGTAGGACACCACCAGGTCGCCCCCGTGGAGGCTGGCAGAGAGGACAAAGGGAACGGCCCGCGTCCACTTCATGACTGCCTTGGTCTCAGGCGCCACCTGCCCAGGACGGGAGAGCCAGTCTCAGAACAGGGCGCGAGCCCGCGGACCACCCGGGCCGACAACGCTCAACCTCTAGGGTGCGGTCAGACACCACAGGGCTCTCGCACCCGTTGGTCCAGCTGCCTGCCAGTCTTCCTGACTCAGGGCTGTCGCTTCCTCCAGGCAGCCTTCCTGGGCCCCTGTCCCTGACACCTGCTGAGCTCTGGGTGCCCTCTGTGCCCAGTGCGGAGCTGTCCCCAGAAGACACAGCGTTAACCGCCCGGCTCCCTGTCCTGGGGAGGGGCCGCACCTCGGGGCCCTGGGATAACGGAGAGCCCTCGGACGAACGGCGCATGCCGTGGGCCGGGACCCACCCGGGGTGGGCGCGGCGGGGCTGGCTCCTACCTTACCCCACCAGTAGTGCTGTGGGATGGCGATGTGGTCAGTGCGCGTGCCGCGGGACGAGGCCAGGCGGTAGAACTCGGAGGTCAGGTCGGGGAAGTTGCGGTTCAGGTCCAGGTTCTGTGCGTTCTGCCTTCCGCTGGTCCACCCATTGTAGCCGGCACCCTGAAACAGAGGCCGCCCCAACCGGGCGTCAACACACCTGCCCTGCTCCTCCTGGCGGGCGGCCACGGGCTGGCCTCAGTGTTCGAGGCCCAGGCCGTGGTTTCTCTCTGGTTTTACGTGATGAACTTCGGAGCATGTCCGCCCTTGACCTCCTCTGCCATCTCTCCGGCCCCTCCCTCCAGGCCCTCCAACCTTAGGGCCTGGCAATGGCTGCTTCCCCTGCCTGGAGTGCCCCCGACCTCCTGCAGGTCAGAGCTTCCAACCTCCAGCTGGCATCCACGCCCTCCCCACCCCCTTCCTCGCCCTGTTTTCTCCAGAGCGCATCTCCCTCGTGACACACCACAGAGTTAGCAGCGTCTGTCTGTCCTCTCTGCCCGAGCAAGACTCGCCCGTGTTGCTGCCTGCTGACTCTCCCCCAGAACGGGGCATACACAGACCCTCCTGACTGCTGTGAATGAGTGAATAAATGAGTGAATGAGTGAGTGAATGAATGAGTGAGTGAATGAGTGAGTGAGTGAGTGAATGAGTGAGTGAGTGAGTGAGTGAATGAATGAGTGAGTGAATGAATGAGTGAGTGAATGAATGAGTGAGTGAATGAGTGAGTGAGTGAGTGAGTGAGTGAATGAATGAGTGAGTGAATGAATGAGTGAGTGAATGAATGAGTGAGTGAATGAGTGAGTGAATGAGTGAGTGAATGAATGAGTGAGTGAATGAATGAATGAGTGAATGAAAGTGAGTGAGTGAATGAATGAGTGAGTGAATGAAGTGAGTGATGAGTGAGTGAATAAATGAGGAGTGAGTGAATGATGTGAGTGAATGAGGTGAAGTGAGTGAGTGAGTGAGTGATGAGAGTGAATGAGTGAGTGAGGTGAGTGAATGAGTGAATGAGTGAGTGAGTGAGTGAATGAATGAGTGAGTGAGTGAGTGAATGAGTGAGTGAGTGAGTGATAATGAGTGAGTGATGAGTGAATGAATGTGAGTGAGTGATAATGAATGAGTGAGTGAATGAGTGAATGATTGAGTGAATGATGAGTGAGTGAGTGAGTGATGAGTGAGTGAGTGAGTGAGTGAGTGAGTGAATGAGTGAGTGAGTGAGTGAGTGAATGAGTGAGCGAGTGAAGTGAGTGAGTGATGAGTGCGAATGAGTGATGGATGAATGATTGAGTGATAATGAGTGGTAGGTGAGTGGAATGAGTGAGTGAGTGAATGAGGTGAGTGAGTGAGAGGAGTGAGTGAAGTGAGTGATCAGTGAATGAGTGAATGAGTGAGTGAGTGAATGAGTGAGTGAGTGAGTGAGTGAATGAATGAGTGAGTGAGTGAGTGAATGAATGAGTGAGTGAATGAATGGATGGATGGGTGTCAGAGGCACAGCCCTCACAATGACGCCTGGGGTGCTCACCTCGGCAGCTGCCACCTCATAGCCATCGGGGTTCATGGAGGGCAGCAGGTGAATGCGGGTGGTGTTGAGCAGGCGCTGGATGCGAGGGTTGCCCAGCAGGTACTCAGAGCACAGGTACTGGGCCAAGTATATGAGCATCTCCCGTCCCGCGACCTCATTGCCGTGGATGTTGCCGATGAGCTTCACCTCAGGCTCCACTGGGGGAAACACAGTGACTGGGGGTGGTCTCGAGCCCCAGGCTCTCCACTACCTGAGGGCCCCCTTGGCGGGGGCCGCCAGATGTTCTGAAACCTACTCATACTTGTTTTGGCCCCAGTATCTCCATGGCTAGTGAGGTCTCATTGAGGTCATCACTTTTGTTGAGCTCATTTGTCGTCTGGTCATAATTAGTAACATGAATGTAGAGTATTAATTAATAATATATGGTATCACTGGTCTGTGTGTATTTCACTTATAACCACACTATCAGTTAAGGTATATGCTAGTGCTTAGATGGACAGGCAGACAGTCAAAGACTGAAAAAGTGAATGGAAAGATGGAAAGAGGGAAGGAAGAATGGATGGGTGGGTGGTGGATGAATGAACAGGTGGATGGATGGATGGATAGATGAATGGATGGATGGGTAGATGGATGGGTAGGTGGCTAGGTAGGTGGATGGATGGAGGGATAGATGAATAGGTAGATAATGGATGGGTGGGTGGATGGATGGATGGATGGATAGATGAATGGATGGATGGGTAGATGGATGGGTAGGTGGCTAGGTAGGTGGATGGATGGAGGGATAGATGAATAGGTAGATAATGGATGGGTGGGTGGATGGATGGATGGATAGATGAATGGATGGATGGGTAGATGGATGGGTAGGTGGGTGGGTGGGTGGGTGGATGGATGGATGGATGAATAGGTTGATGGATGGATGGATGGATGGATGGATGGATGGATGGATGGATGAACAGGTAGATGGATGGATGGATGGGTAGATGGATGGGTAGGTGGGTGGGTGGGTGGATGGATGGATGGATGGATGGATGAACAGGTAGATGGATGGATGGATGAGTAGATGGATGGGTAGGTGGGTGGGTGGGTGAGTGGGTGGGTGGATGGATGGATGGATGGATGGATGGATGGATGGACAGGTAGGTGGGTGGGTAGATGGGTAGATGGATGGATAGACAAATGGATGGATGGGTAGATGGACAGGTAGGGGGATGGGTGGGTGGGTGGATGGATGGATGGATGGATAAATGAATGGATGGATGGATAAATGAATGGATGGATGGGTGGATGAACAAGTAGATGGATGGATGGATAAATGGATGGATGGATGGATAATGGATGGATGGATGGATGGATGGATGGATGGATGAACAGGTGGATGGATGGATGGATAAATGGATGGATGGATGGATGAACAGGTAGATGGATGGATGGGTGGATGGGTGGATAGATGAACAGGTGGGTAGATGAATGAATTCTGGGAAAAAGTGAAGCAAGAACCTGGCAGCCTCACCAGGTGTGTGATCTTGGGCAAGTCGCTTCTCTCTGATTGTCACATTACTCACGTAGATGAAAGATGGTGTGTCCCTCTGGCGGTGTGTGGCCCAAGGCCTTGCCGCTGTGGGGGTCAGCCCTCATGTCCCTCCCAAATTAGGAGGGTGTGAAGGACCCTGAGGCTTTCTACAGTCATGTTCCTTGGCCCTCTGCACGGGGACACCTTCACCCATACATCCTGAAGCTGCAGGCCTCAGGATTCGTCCGAGCCTGTCTTCAGCCCAGAGTCCCCCACAAGCTGAAGGGGCAGGAGGCAGGTGGGCACGGAGGCTGCGGGACTGCATGGCCTTGGCCTCTGTCCATGGTGCCCACGCCGGGAGGATGGGAGCGGGGCTGAGGGCGGCAGGGCTGCTTCCCAGGATGAGGTGTATTTGTCAGTAACGTGTCAGGAACAAGGGTGGAATGGGGTCTGCTTCTGGATCAATCCTGCTGCCTCACGTGGTATGGGACAGACGGGCCGAGGGCCGAGGCGGGGAAGGACTGAGCCCCTCACTCACCCGTCCCCCTGAGGCCTGGCCAGGGCCCTGTGCTCCGAGGCTCTCAGTGCCCAGGCGGGGGGTTCGCAGTCCCCTCACTTCATAGGGAGCAAGCTGCCCAGGCAGGGGGGCAGTCTTTGCTAGAACCCCCTGGATTCTTGGGCTGGACTCGGGCCCCAGGGCCCCTGAAATTCAGGTCCAAGGTGATTTTGTTCAGCACCCACGCCCCTGGCCCGAGTGACCCTTTCTCAGTCACAGCGGAGAGTGAACTATGACCGCAGTGACGTTTGACCCTGCCTTGAAGGGATGGAGCTCCGGAGGGACAATAAATGTGGCATTTCCCACGTGGCTCTTCCTTGTTTCAAAACAGGACCACCAGCCCTGACAGTGGGTTTCAGGTGGAAAAGGGGCTTTAGTCACGTCCTGTGATACTGCAATCACCACGCAGCGGGAAGGAGCCGGGTCTGGGCCGCACACACCTGCCCGGGGCCCAGGCAAGGCCACAAACCACAGAGCAGCTCCGTGTCCCTGTGGACACGCCAGGGCCCAGCGGCACCCCTGCCCTCACCGCTCCCTGACTCGTCGGTCCCTTGGATGCCCAGTGACACACTAAGTGGTTCCACATGAACTGTGGGTGTGGCCGTGCACCCCCGCACCAAGCAGAGCCCTGACACCACCTCGCCCTGCCCCCCCGTCAGGGGCTGTGATTAGAATCCTGGACCCTGGCGGGTGCAGCCCCTGACGCTGGCCAGCGCTCAGGCCTCCCCCCGGGCGCCCCGCGGTGACGGAGGCTTACTCAGCTCGTGCTGGCCGGGGCGGCCCGAGAACTCGATGACCAGCAGCTCCTTGCCGTCAAAGCTGCGCCCGATGCTGTAGGTCCTGGCCACGTGGGAGCAGCGGGCCGCCGTCCGCTTCAGCACGCGCACCATCTGGGCGTAGGAGTGGTGGGCAAAGTGGACGAAGGCTGGCGGCAGGCCTGAGGGCAGCGCCTCCTCCACATCCAGGCCTCCTGGGGGAGCGGGGTGCAGGGTCAGCCTCGGGCCTGTCGGCTGCCACCCGCCTGCCCACCCACCGACCGCTGCCCGTCTGCCCACGCTCGACCCCCAGGCCTGCCTGGGACCGCGACCACTCCAGCACCCACACACCCACTCCAGCCACTCTGTGGATGGTTAAAATCAAAACTCTCTCTATTGTTCTTAATGTCCACAACTAATCACAGCACCCAACAGACTCATAAAGCATCGTAGTTCCTGATGTCACTAAATAAAAGCAATAAGCAACCACTTTGGAGATGTTATAAAACACAAAACGGCAGACTAGGGAGGAAAGGCAGACCTGTCACCAGCAGGACAGTGAGCATGCCGGGGAGGGGGATGGGCGCTTCCCATGCTTCTGTTTCCCGAGGAGAAATGCCTGGGCTTCCAGGCCCAGAACCATAGCCGGGGAACCACAGCCCAGAACCACAGCCGGGGAACCACAGCCCAGAACCACAGCCGGGGAACCACAGCCCAGAACCACAGCCGGGGAACCACAGCCGAGGAACCACAGGTGGGAACCACAGATGGGGAACCACAGCCGGGGAACCACAGATGGGGAACCACAGCCGGGGAACCACAGCCCAGAACCACAGCCGGGGAACCACAGGCAGGGGACCACAGCCGGGGAACCACAGCCCAGAACCACAGCTGGGGAACCACAGCCCAGAACCACAGCCGGGGAACCACAGCTCAGAGCCACAGCCAGGAAACCACAGCCCAGAACCACAGCCGGGGAACCACAGCCGAGGAACCACAGGTGGGAACCACAGCCGGGGAACCACAGCCGGGGAACCACAGCCCAGAACCACAGCCGGGAACCACAGCCCAGAACCACAGCTGGGGAACCACAGCCCAGAACCACAGCTGGGGAACCACAGCCCAGAACCACAGCCAGGAAACCACAGCCCAGAACCACAGCTGGGGAACCACAGCCGAGGAACCACAGGTGGGAACCACAGCCGGGGAACCACAGCCGGGGAACCACAGCCCAGAACCACAGCTGGGGAACCACAGCCCAGAACCACAGCCGGGAACCACAGCCCAGAACCACAGCTGGGGAACCACAGCCCAGAACCACAGCTGGGGAACCACAGCCCAGAACCACAGCCGGGAACCACAGCCCAGAACCACAGCTGGGGAACCACAGGCAGGGGACCACAGCCGGGGAACCACAGCCCAGAACCACAGCCGGGGAACCACAGCCCAGAACCACAGCCGGGGAACCACAGCCCAGAACCACAGCCGGGGAACCACAGCCCAGAACCACAGCCGGGGAACCACAGCCCAGAACCACAGCCGGGGAACCACAGCCGAGGAACCACAGGTGGGAACCACAGATGGGGAACCACAGCCGGGGAACCACAGATGGGGAACCACAGCCGGGGAACCACAGCCCAGAACCACAGCCGGGGAACCACAGCCCAGAACCACAGCCGGGGAACCACAGCTCAGAGCCACAGCCGGGAAACCACAGCCCAGAACCACAGCCGGGGAACCACAGCCCAGAACCACAGCCGGGGAACCACAGCCGAGGAACCACAGGTGGGAACCACAGCCCAGAACCACAGCTGGGGAACCACAGCCGAGGAACCACAGGTGGGAACCACAGCCCAGAACCACAGCTGGGGAACCACAGCCGAGGAACCACAGGTGGGAACCACAGCCCAGAACCACAGCCGGGAACCACAGCCCAGAACCACAGCCGGGAACCACAGCCCAGAACCACAGCTGGGGAACCACAGCCCAGAACCACAGCTGGGGAACCACAGCCCAGAACCACAGCCCAGAACCACAGCCGGGGAACCACAGCCCAGAACCACAGCCGGGGAACCACAGCCCAGAACCACAGCCGGGAACCACAGCCCAGAACCACAGCTGGGGAACCACAGCCCAGAACCACAGCTGGGGAACCACAGCCCAGAACCACAGCCAGGAAACCACAGCCCAGAACCACAGCTGGGAACACAGCCGAGGAACCACAGGTGGGAACCACAGCCGGGGAACCACAGCCGGGGAACCACAGCCCAGAACCACAGCTGGGGAACCACAGCCCAGAACCACAGCCGGGAACCACAGCCCAGAACCACAGCTGGGGAACCACAGCCCAGAACCACAGCCCAGAACCACAGCCAGGGAACCACAGCCGGGAACCACAGCCCAGAACCACAGCTGGGGAACCACAGGCAGGGGACCACAGCCGGGGAACCACAGCCCAGAACCACAGCCGGGGAACCACAGCCCAGAACCACAGCCGGGGAACCACAGCCCAGAACCACAGCCGGGGAACCACAGCCCAGAACCACACGCCGGGGAACCACAGCCCAGAACCACAGCCGGGGAACCACAGCCGAGGAACCACAGGTGGGAACCACAGATGGGGAACCACAGCCGGGGAACCACAGATGGGGAACCACAGCCGGGGAACCACAGCCCAGAACCACAGCCGGGGAACCACAGCCCAGAACCACAGCCGGGGAACCACAGCTCAGAGCCACAGCCGGGAAACCACAGCCCAGAACCACAGCCGGGGAACCACAGCCCAGAACCACAGCCGGGGAACCACAGCCGAGGAACCACAGGTGGGAACCACAGCCCAGAACCACAGCTGGGGAACCACAGCCGAGGAACCACAGGTGGGAACCACAGCCCAGAACCACAGCTGGGGAACCACAGCCGAGGAACCACAGGTGGGAACCACAGCCGGGGAACCACAGCCGGGGAACCACAGCCCAGAACCACAGCTGGGGAACCACAGCCCAGAACCACAGCCGGGAACCACAGCCCAGAACCACAGCTGGGGAACCACAGCCCAGAACCACAGCTGGGGAACCACAGCCCAGAACCACAGCCGGGAACCACAGCCCAGAACCACAGCCGGGGAACCACAGGCAGGGGACCACAGCCGGGGAACCACAGCCCAGAACCACAGCCGGGGAACCACAGCCCAGAACCACAGCCGGGGAACCACAGCCCAGAACCACAGCCGGGGAACCACAGCCCAGAACCACAGCCGGGGAACCACAGCCCAGAACCACAGCCGGGGAACCACAGCCCAGAACCACAGCCGGGGAACCACAGCCCAGAACCACAGCCGGGAAACCACAGCCCAGAACCACAGCCGGGGAACCACAGCCCAGAACCACAGCCGGGGAACCACAGCCCAGAACCACAGCCGGGGAACCACAGCCCAGAACCACAGCGGGGAACCGCAGCCCAGAACCACAACCCGGAAACCACAGCCCGGGAACCACAGCCGGGGAACCACAGCCCAGAACCACAGCCGGGGAACCACAGCCCAGAACCACAGCCGGGGAACCACAGCCCAGAACCACAGCCGGGGAACCACAGCCCAGATCCATAGCCGGGGAACCACAGCCCAGAACCACAGATGGGGAACCACAGCCGGGGAACCACAGCCCAGAACCACAGCCAGGGAACCACAGCCAGGGAACCACAGCCCAGAACCACAGCCCAGAACCACAGCCAGGGAACCACAGCCCAGAACCACAGCCCAGAACCACAGCCAGGGAACCACAGCCAGGGAACCACAGCCCAGAACCACAGCCCAGAACCACAGCCAGGGAACCACAGCCAGGGAACCACAGCCCAGAACCACAGCCGGGGAACCACAGCCCAGAACCACAGCCGGGGAACCACAGCCCAGAACCACAGCCGGGGAACCACAGCCCAGAACCACAGCCGGGGAACCACAGCCCAGAACCACAGCCGGGGAACCACAGCCCAGAACCACAGCCGGGGAACCGCAGCCCAGAACCACAGCGGGGAACCGCAGCCCAGAACCACAACCCGGAAACCACAGCCAGGGAACCACAGCCGGGGAACCACAGCCCAGAACCACAGATGGGAACCACAGCCCAGAACCACAGCCGGGGAACCACAGCCCAGAACCACAGCCGGGGAACCACAGCCCAGAACCACAGCCGGGGAACCACAGCCCAGAACCACAGCCGGGGAACCACAGCCCAGAACCACAGCCCAGAACCACAGCCAGGGAACCACAGCCAGGGAACCACAGCCCAGAACCACAGCCCAGAACCACAGCCAGGGAACCACAGCCAGGGAACCACAGCCCAGAACCACAGCCCAGAACCACAGCCAGGGAACCACAGCCCAGAACCACAGCCAGGGAACCACAGCCAGGGAACCACAGCCAGGGAACCACAGCCAGGGAACCACAGCCCAGAACCACAGCCGGGAACCACAGCCAGGGAACCACAGCCAGGGAACCACAGCCCAGAACCACAGCCAGGGAACCGCAGCCGGGAGCCACAGCCAGCCAGCTGTCCCTCCCCGCCCACTGCAGCCTCCCCCCGGTGATGGCCCAGCCATTCCCTGCCGCCTCGTCCCCACCCAGGGGTCTCTGCGGGGCCCGTGCAGGTCCCTGCAGGCCGGTCTGGGGGAGCACTAACGGTTAATGCTCCTCCCTGAGTATCTCACTTGCCCTGTGGTTTTGTTTCTGCTCAAAATGGTTTTCGAGTGGGAAGAAAGCAGAGGGAACCGGCAATTTGGTGGTGGAATTGCCCAAAATAAGCTCTTTCAAGCCAAGTCCACGGGCTTTCCCGGGCGGGCGGGCCTGGCCCACAGACAGTCTGGCTTCCTTCCTGTGCCCCCTGCCCACCCCAGTGCCTCCGCTGCCCCTCCGCTGCCCCTTCCCTGCCTCTGCGCCCGCCAGGAGCCGCCTGGGGAGCGAGCGCCTGCACAGCAGCCCCGGGAGCAGGCGGGAGCCCCCCCCCAGTCGGCTCCAGGGTCAGCCCTGAGCGCCACCACCAGGGGGCAGCACTGGAACCTGGGCTCGCTGGAGGCCCCAGCTCGGGCCATGTGCACAGCGGATCAGTCCCCCCAGCAGCCTGGCTCCACCTGCCGCCATCTGCCTCCTCAGACCTCCCTCCCTGTCACTAGACGGTGGGCTGGTGACGAACATTCAGGGCTGTTGTGGGGTGTAAATGAGACCCACGTGCGTGGCACTCATCCAGGTCCCCTAAACCTCACCCTGAGCTTCGAGACGTGAGACACAAGAAGCCAGAAGCAGATGCCCTGCCCTGTCCTGCGTCGCATCCTGGCCACACGTGGCTATGTCCACGTGAGCTTAAATTCATAAAAATCAAATAAAACAAAGCTTAGACCTTCGGTCACTCAAGCCACATTCCAAGCTCAGCGGCCACATGTGATCAGTGGCATCTGCCTGGGACGGCACAGGAAGGATACTCGCTGCAGCGGGGACCTGTTAGCTGGCTGCCGTGGATGGTCCCGTGGCCCTGGAGCGTGGGCGCTCACGGAGCCTCCCCTCTGACCGGCCCTGGAAAGCCCAGCAGGGGGCACAGCAGGCATGGGTTAAAGGCATGCAGAGCATTTGGCCCAGTCCCACACAGAGCTTTGGCTCCCCTCCCCCACTCAGCACCACTGCCGAGAAGCCCTCCAGGACTTCCTCAAACATCTCCCAGGATTAGTGGCTCACCACCACCCTGCGCTGCCCACTCCACCTCTGCTGGTTTGTCCACCAAAGCCCATCTCTCTGCGGACCCTCTCAAGGCAGCCTTGAGCCCACTGGGCCCCACAGACCCCACTTCTATGGTTCTGGTTGCCGGGTTCAATCTTCCAGGGCTGGCCTCAGGCAATGACAGCCTATGCCTCGCAGGCTTCTGGCAGGGTCCTGCCCCCCCCACCCAGCCTGGAACCAGCCAAGCCCGCAGTGCCCTGGAGGGGGCTGCAGCCAAGGAGCTGGCCCCAGGCAGCCCCGGTCCTCCCCGTCCCCACCCCCACACTGGCACCTGCACTGGGGCCCTGGCTGAAGCCCCTTCCCCGCTCTGACTCTGTTGTCCTACTGGCCCCCTGGACACCTGACTGCTCAGCGCCCTGGGCCCCCTGGGCCCCCGCCGGCCTCCGCACCTCGCAGCTTCTCCAAGGGGTCGTAGCAGCCTTCCTCCTCGCCCCCGAAGTAGCGGCCACAGTCGAGGAAGTAGGGCCAGGCCATGTCGATGGCATCGAAGGCGGGCTGGCAGGCGTCCCGCAGGCCCTCGCAGACGTGCCGGCAGGGCCTGCGCACCCGGCCACCCTCGCACCGCGGGGCCAGCACGGCGCAGCCCAGCAGCCGCAGGTCGGGGTTGCACTGGCCCTCCAGGAGGTGGTGCAGGACACTCAGCAGGATGTACTCGGAGCTGGACTCCACCGCCTCCTGGGACCGGTGCTCCAGCGGCGTGGGGAAGGCCGTCTGGTTGTAGGCGGCATCCCCGCAGGTCCGGAGCCGCAGGTCCACGCACGTGGCTGGGGGAGGAGGGTCACCGAGTCACTCCCTCCCACGAGCACCCACACTGTCATCTGTCAGACACGGAGGGCCTGCTGTACCCATGCAGACCCCCGGGGCCAGGGCCCACGGGGAGGGCCCCCAGTCTGGCGGGGAGGTGGGGCAAGGCCGGCTGGAGGCAGCGGGCGCGGGAGGACCTGGCACTGCCTGGGCTCAGCTGCTCAGGAGTGAGTGCCAGGCCGGCCGCCGGGCCCTCGGCTTCCGCGCTGTGACACGGGAGCGGCAGAGCCCGCCCGGCCAAGGGTGTGCCCCACTGGGGCTGGTCACTGACTGACCTTCAGATTGGGAAATAGTTTTCTGCTTTTTAAAAGAAGTCTAGACCCTCCACCTGGAATACAGCCGACGCCCCTCTGGCAGGAGGAGACAAAGCAACGTCTGCCTCGAGCCTTCTGGTGCATCGAGCCCACTGATCCACGGGCCAGCCTCCCTTCCTGTTCTACTGAGGAGGAAGCCAGGGCCCAGAGGGAGGGCCTCGCCCGGCCCGTCTCAGCAGGTGTCGCCTGGGCTGGGGACTGAGCCCCACGGGCTGCGGGAATGCTCCTCGGGGCACATTCAAGGCTGGGCCCCAGCCCGAGCCCACCTCAGGGGAGGCGAGGGGACGGGAAGCGGGAGGACGGGAAGGGACAGCTCTGCGGGGCCCAGGCTGCAGGGGGAGGTCCTTCCTTGTTCATTCGGTCTTATTTCTAGCTGGTTAAGAAGCAGTTTGGGTCCGGCAGGTGTGGCTCAATGGTGGAGCGTTGACCCACGCACCAAGAGGTCACCGGTTCGATTCCCAGTCAGGGCACAGGCTCAAGTTGTGGGCCCGATCCCCAGTGGGGGGCATGCAGGAGGCGGCCAATCGATGTTCTCTCTCATCGATGTTTCTCTCTCTCCCTCTCCCTTTCTCTCAAATCAATGAAGAGAAAAAAAAATTTTTTTAAAGAAGCAGCTTGGATTTGATTAGTGGATTTGATGGGTTCATCACACTTCAGAACCCTGGGTCCAGCTCTTGCAAATGCTTCGATAGTGTGGGGTCTGCATCCTTCCTATATACAAAACCAGGGCAGTCCACGTGCATACCGCTGTCGGAGGCTGACAGCCGGGGGCAGCCACCTGCAAAGAAAGAGCAGGAAGGTTAGGGGTGCGGACCCTGCTGTCCTAAAACTCACTGATGCTGGCCCTCCACGGCCTTCGTCTCAGGCTTCAGAGCCACCTCTGCCGTCCACGCGGCCGCCCCCCATCGCACAGGTGCGGAGACCGAGCGTCATGGAGGCCACGTGACTCCGGGAAGGACGGCCAGAGGTGGAGGGGTTCTCCAAAGCCCCGGACGGACAGCGGCCCCGGCTAGCCTGTGGCCAGGAGGAGGGAGCCCCACCCGTGTTTGCCGACTGCCCTGCTGTGGACACTTCCACCAAAGCCACGTTCCAGCTTCCGGCTGTCGAGCAACTCGTTCTCATCAAGTCCCAGACACTGAACACGCCAGTCTGCTGTCGCAGCCATGGAGCGCGGACCGAGGCAGAGGCCGTGGCTCGGACAGGCCGGTGGGGAGCCTCAGAGAGACGGACGGTGTCACTGAACCGTCAGTTCGCCCCCCGAGCGAGCATCGCCGCTGAGCACACCACCCCGGGTGTGCCCCGCACAGGGCGGGGTGCGGGACCTGGGGATTCGTGCAGATGTTCAGGGAGCAGAACCCCTTGGCCCCAGGCTGAGGAAGGCAAGAGAAAACCAGGACCCCCCATATCTGCCCCCTCAAAGCCACCAGATGCCACACAAGCGACTGGACTTGTGGACTGGAGCAGATTTGGGAAGCCGGTGGCACATGGCTCCACGGGTCCCCCGTGTACAGATGGGAAGTCCGCGGATGGCCTGCCTCCCTGTGCCTCAGTTTCCTCCTCTGTAGAACAGGGGTGATGAGTGCACACTGTTGTCAGAGGACCCAGTGAAATAAAGCAAGAGGTGCCTGGGCAGCAGGGCCAGCAAAGGGTCTCTCTGGTCACACACCGCCCATGTGACCCTCCCACCAGGCCCCAGTGCTCAGTGGGGTGGACAGGGCGGGGCACTGGCCGGCTTAGTCACCAACACTTCCAGGAGGCCCCAGGAGCAAGGCAGAAAACAGGTGGGCACATTTCCTGGGGCCCCCGTGTCGCACCGCAAACTGGTACAAGAGACGTGGATTGGTTACAACCCAGTAATTCTCCATCCGCTAGAAGAAGGAACCTCTCCTGGGTTCCTTGAACCCGAGTTGTTTTTGCAAAAATTCTTGAAGAGGAAGGTATGCATCAGCCATGACCACAAGGGTATTGACCATGAGCTTAACTAATCAGGAGATGCCAGACGGGGCGATGAGACGTTCAAGGCTGGGGTCTAGTAAATGTTAAGAAATATAAAATAAACAACTTGTGCAGTTACTAACTGCTGATATCTGCTTCTGTACACGTTGCTTGCTCGCTCTGCTAAACTCTTGAGTAACCCCTGTCCTATATAAGCAACCCTCCCCCTGAGCTCGGGGCTGCAGTTCTCTGTGTAGGTTGGCTGCAGTCCCTGCGCAGGTAATAAAGCTCCTAATATTCAAAATTACTTGGTGTCTGAGTGAGGATGACTCTTCTGGGTTACAACAGATTCTCTCCCAGCTCTGGGACCAGGGCCTAAAATCGGGGCGTGGACAGAGCCCTGCCACGCCAGCCCCGGAATCTCAGCAGTCCTGGCCTTGGGGCCGCATTACCCCATCTTGCCTCCTCCCTCACATCCTTCCCCGTGTGTGTCTGTATCCAAAGTTCCCTGTTCTTCCGAGGACACTGGCCATTGGGTTCAGGACCCACTCAAAGCCAGAATGACCTCGTGTTAATCTGTGTGCGCAATGACTGTTTCCCAATAAAGTCGCAGTCATGGGTATTAGGGATTACGACTTCACTTTATCTTTTGAGGGACACAATTCAACCCACAACAAAAGGCAAGTCACAGAGTGTGCCTGGGCAGGCTTGGGGCAGGGAACCGGAGAAAGCTGGCTCTTCTGGCCCCGCCGCGCCCTGTCCTTGCACCAGCCATCTGTGGCAACTGAGCACTGGAGTGCTGAGTCCAAACCGACACTGGCCATAGGTGTAAAATACCAAGTTTCGGACTCAGTACTAAAAAAAAAAAAGTGAAATATTTCATTAATAATTTTTATATTGATGAAAAACACTGAAACAATATTTTGGATATATCGGGTTAAATAAATGTTGTTACTGAAGTTAATTTCACTTGATTCTTATCGCCTCTTTAGTGTGGCTACTGGAAAATGGAAAATTATGCGTACGGTGGGCCCGCATCTTGAAAGGCACTGGTCCACGTGTGACCACAAGGTGGCAGCGTTTCTGCGGCAGAGAGATGGAGACTGACCTGGGGCTAGTGTTCTAAAGACCACTAGCCTCCTGGCCAGGGCCTCCTCTATCCGCGAGAAACCCGAACGAGGTCAGAGAGGTCAAGCCATCTGCCCAAGGCCACACAGCAGAGTAGAGGAGTCAGAATTTGAACCCAGACCACCTGAGCCCTAGGAGCATGAAGGTCTCCTCAGACCCCAGGCTCCCCGTAAAGACCTGGAGACCTCCACCAGACCAGAGACAAGGCAGAGGAGGGCCTGTGAGGTGGGGAAGGGTTTAGTCCTTGGCCGCAGCAGCCTGGATTCAAACCGCCCAGCCTCACCGGAGCCGTCTGCAGCCTGGGAAAGGCAGGTGGCGTCCGTAGTCCGCTCTTGTAAGGAAGATGGGCCTGGAGGAGGGTTTATTCTAGGAAGAGCCACTGAAGCCAAGAAGAAGGTGAGGAGGAGTGACCTGCACTGCCCATGGGGGGGGGGCTGCACGTCCCCCTGGGAAGGCGGGGCCGGTCGGAGAACTGCAAGTTCTACCGCATCCCAGTGCACCCCACACGCTGGGCCGGCCTGGGCCTTCTGCAGAAAGGAGGGGGCGGGGAGGGGTGGGGGAGGGCCAGGCTGAGAGAAGTTCAGACTGGGAGAGGAGAAAGGGACAAGGTCGACAAGGGCACCTCTGAGGGGCGCTGCTCCACGGACACCCACTTGGCAGGGCAGCGAGTTCTCAGGTAGCCGCCAGCCCGGCCCGGAGAGATTCTGAGTCTGACAGCCCCGACCCTGTCCCCCAAGGGACTTCCACCCTCCGGGGGCACAGATGCCTGCTACTGATCAGGACCCGAGGACAGTGGACTAGATGCAACCCTACCTTTTTAAAAATATATATGTTTTTATTGATTTATTTTAGAGAGAGAGAGAGAAAAAAAAAAAACATGAATTGGCTGCCTCCTGCACACCCCCTACTGGGGATAAGCCTGCAACCCAGGCATGTCCCTGACCCAGAGTCCAACAGGGACCTCCCAGTCCATGGGACGCGCTCAATCCACTGAGCCACACCGGCCAAGAAGGGGAACTGAGGCCCACTCCAGGAGGGGAGGTGTGGCCAGGACCCCGAACTCCAGCACACGGGGCACGCTCAGGTGCGATCACGCAGGCAGACACCCCCACACACACCTTGAGGGTCCCTGGGACCCCCTCTCCCTGCCCCAGAGCCTTCCAGAAGCCCCGCCCCCTCCCCAGCACCCCCCTGCCAGGGGACCCGCGCCCTCCCAGGCCCCGGGCGCCCACTTCCGGAGGCGGCGTTGTCCACATCAGCCGAGCTGGGAGGGAGGGTCTAGAGTTCGCTGGGGCCCAGGGGCCGCCCCCTTCCTGGAAGGAGCGACCTCGGACGGCCCCCTCCCGGTGCAAAGTGCTGGCGCCCGCGCCCCTGACCCCACCTGCCCGGGGCCCACCCGCTGCGCCCCGACCTGAGGACCTCACGTCCGGACAGTGCCCCGCGCTGCCCCCAGCTCCTGTGCGCTCCACCCGGGCCCCAGACTCGAAGTGCTCAGAGTGCCCTCTCCTGCCAGGCCAAGGCCACAGGGCGCCCACCGAGGTTCCCCGGGCCAGGGGCCTGCGGAGGCTGTGGGGTCCCTGCGCGCGGGGCGGCCTTACCCGCAGGGTCCCCGGCGGGCTCGCACCCGGGCCCGGCGGCGGCCACCGCCAGCGCGGCGAGCAGCGGCAGCAGCATGGTGGCAGCGGGCGCCGTGATGTGGCGCTGGAGCCCGGGCCGGGGCG